CTGTACGCAGGAAAATTTTGCCGTCCCGTGTCTGTTCTGGTACAAACATTTTGCCATGCTGGAGGCCCAGTTGCTGGGCGGCGTTTTCTTCTCGGATGAGGTCAGCAAGGTCGGCACCTTGCGGAATGTCTAGCTCGGTCCATGCCACCGCTGCAATCGTTGGCTGGATCCTTTCTGGAGGGATCAGGGCTATAGTACGCTCCTCCAGCTCCCGGGCTTTAACTGTTGGCAGCTCTGTTGTTTTGCGGGACAGTGCGTCCGCGCCGATGTTCTGTTGTCCTGGCCGGTAGGTGAAGGTGATATCGAAGTTCGACAAGAAGTCTGCCTACCGGACTTGCCGAGTTGAAAGGACCTTCTTTTGCGAGTTAAAGGCTAGGGCCTGGTGGTCTGTGACGACGAAAAACTTCATTCCAAGGAGTTCGGGATAATAATGCTTTAATGTTTGCACCACAGCAAGCAGTTCTCGGCCTTGGATCGGGTATGCTCTCTCAGCACTGTTCATTGACTTAGAGAAGTAGCCCACTGGCTTTCAATCTCCGTCGTTTTGCTCCTGCCAGATTACACCACCTATTGCGTTGCGAGAAGCATCTGTTTCGACTCGTGTGGGCTTTCCGGGGCGGAAAAATGCCAGGACTGGTGCTTCACAGGCTAGTTGCTTCAGCTTGTTAAATGCCTCAGTTTGTTCAGGGCCGATGTCGAATGGCGCATCCTTTTTCAAAAACCGGTTGAGGGGTTCGGCTACACTGCTGGCGTGATGACAGAACATGCGCACGTAGTTGCCTTTGTCCTCTACTTCCTCCTCAGCCAGGGAGGCGGGGAAGTGTGGATGGGCTACGACGTCTGAAGAATATGTTGCCAGCTGGAGCTCAAGGTGCTGGCTGTGGCTAGGGGGCCGCAGGTACTGTGTATCAGCCGCATATAACGGCAAGGGTTGGCCTGGGCTCCATGGCGGCGGAAGATTATCATTCTCCTCCACGACGGAGGCGTGCGAGGGAGCAGCTCGAGCAGTCGATTCTTTTCCAACCCCACCCCATGCGGCAACGGAAGATCCTACGAGCAGAGCACCGACAACCTAAACGATAGGCAAGCCCTTTGGATTCTCGGTCGAGAGCGGGAGCTCGAGCGACGGAAGAGCTTATGGCTTCAATCCGCCTCTGGAACCATCGTTTCGATGCTCGGTCTAAAGAATTTCTACCTCGCTAGCGCCATGCACCCTTAGCTCACTCGAGCCGAGGGCCGTTTCGCCTTCATCCTCGCGTGTCGACGCGAAAGCGGCGAGGGGCTTAGCAGAGGGTGGTCGAAAGACAAGAAAGAAATCTGAATGGTTTTCCCTATTCCCAGGTCGACTTTGTGTCCCTGTGCATTTAATACACGTGCCTAACAAGTGGCGGAGGTTTAGCCAAGCCGCCAAAGCTGGCAAAGTGCTGCCTTTCTGCCAAAGCGGCGCAGCGGCGTAGCTCGTTTATATAAAGGGGTCCCTCCCCCTCTTCGACTTTTCCCCTTCCTTCACTCGTTCACCGACCTGCTAGCGCAGTCCCAGCACAACCACAACCATGGACCTCGCCTCGCCGCCAGCCGGGGCCCCCGAAAAGCCCTGCGATCCCTTCAGCGTCGACCCTGCGCGGCTGATGCTCCCTCCTCCCGACCCCGTGCCGAGCGGCGACCCTAGCTGTGGGGGCGGCTCGCTCGACGATATCTTTCTTTTGAACTCCGAGCAGACTCCCGCCTTACTCAATGATATCGATGTTGAAAGCGTCGTAGGCCTTAGGGGATTTCCCGATTCCATACCCACTGACTCCATATGGCCTAACACCAGCGACACTTTTCCATGGACGGATGGGACATCACTGGAGCTAAACCACTATGCCCAGCTCGGACCCCCGAGTCCACTGTTATGCGACTCAGCCGATGAAGTCCAATTCTCCATCTCGCTCGAGCACGAGTCCGACAAGGCTGCTCGCGACGATCTCCACTTCGACGACTTTCTTCTGCCGCCCCTTCCCGACTTCAACGAAATAGAAGACGCTCCCGGCGATAGCAGCATCCTTAACGATTTTATCAACCTTGACCAGAGCGGAGCTGCAACGCCCCTCGAACCCGCTCTGCCTACCCCGCGAGAGAATGTCCAAAGCCCGAGCTGGTCTCCCCAGACTCCCGGAGCCTCGCCCTGGACGAGCATGGACGTCGAGTTACTAGAAGTCAGGAGCCATGAAGGGAACAACAGTTGCTCAGTTGAGGAAATGATCAACAAGGTTCTTGGAAGGAGGCGCGAAGATCTGGATGACGATGGAGCTGCGACGCCCCTAAAGTCCGCTCCGCCTACCCCTCGACAGGATTCCCGAAGCCCGAGCTGGTCCCCTCCGCCTCTCGAAGCCATTCTGGCCTGCACGAGCCCGGACGTCGAGTCTCTGGCAGTCAGCCATCATGGTAAGGCAAGCCCTGGGAGGAATCAAGTTCCATCGAGGATATCTGGCTGTCGAGGTGCTCGCACCACTTCCAACGCAGCAAGAGCAAACAGTTGCCGGGCTCAGACGGTGATTAAAAACGGAAGGACTAGACAAGGGTTGGGGAGGAATGAGGGTCTACGAACCGCCTCCCAGGCAGCGAGCGTAAAAGAAAGAAGCTGCGGGGTTCAGAAGGAAATCGACGAGATTCTCAGGAGGAGGGCTCCAGGTCCGGGTCGCCGTCGCCGATTACAGGCCTCAGGCAGTCGACGCCATCCTGTTGACGTTGACGCGCTTTGAAGGTTCGGCCAAGTATCAGGAAACATGTAGTTGTATTCAGATTCGGTTAAAGATCAAGTACCTCTCTCGCCATAAATCACCCAATGAAGCCTAGCTCGTCCGAGATCTTCCTGTGCCTGCTTTGCAGGCGGCTGCGGATGTTTTTAGTCAATACGGCTCGCAGCCAGCCCTGTATGTGTCCGCGAAACACGGCCATCGTTGGCAATTACCATGGCACACTTAATTGTGTGCATAGGGTGATGGCCTGCCAATCGATTGCCCGAGCAGCGCCGCGCGTGAAACAGAGGCGCGTCTTCCGGCTTTGGTGTGCACACCAGAGCGTATACACGAAAGTAGGGATATGCACTGCGTTTTTCGAGAGTTTGCAATGTACTTCTTTGTTGTGACATTGCTGACACGTTTCCCGCCGCGCATTCACAAATGCATTTTTCCGCCTTCCTGCCGAGCCACCCTGGCAGGGTGAACTTTTGTGACGGCAGCGTTAGCCTCAGCGGCAAAGCCAGCGGGTGGCTGGAACGCGAATGCGAGGAGTCCTAGGCTACATAAAGAGCAACCTTCCTGTACGTCTGCTACGCCATGAACGACGGTAACACCTACTTGAAGGCCATTAAGGCAAGATGGTTACTCGAAGCAATCACACCAGAGCGAGAAAAAGCCGAAGCAGATTTGGCGAAAGTAACCGTCCCTTGAAGCCTCGCGCCCGAAGACGCGGCGGCTGCAGCTACAGAAGGATGAGCTCCACGCGAAAGCCACTGGGCTTACAAAAGAGGAATCGGCTTTCCGATGCCATGCGGTCGTGTTCGGGAAGGGGAGGCCCGAGTGGTTTCGAGAAAGCGATGACTTCTTCGCAAGTACTCCTCGGAGAAACAATGTTAGACTCCCGCGCCATTATCTTAACGCGTTGCTTGTCCGCCAAACTGACCACGACGTCCCCCTTTAGGTGCCCGCGCCGTATCGTCCTCAAAGCCCTGCGACGACCCTGAGCGCAAAGGACGATACCCACGTCCGTAGCGATTGCCGTCAGACGGCTGACGAGCCTGGACTAAGATCCACCGCGGAGGAATTCGGCACCCGAAGGGGGAGATCGAGGGCTCCAGAAAGAGGGATTAAGACAGAGCGCCAAAGCCCAGGCCCAGGCTTAGGCCCAAGTAAAAAGCGATTGAGAAGCAATGAGTGTTTTCACGGGAATCTTCGTTTAGCGACCCCTGAGCGCCACTCGTGCACCGACGAAGGAGAGGGGCCACCGACGAGCGAGAGGTAGGCACCGACGAGCAAGAGGCGGGCACCGACGAGCAAGAGGCGGGCAGAGGGGGAAGGGAGTCGAACTGCCGGGGGAGAGATTACCATCGAAGAGGCCATGAAACGCTATGCCGAAGAAAAGAGAGGACAGACGAGCCCAGGCCCAGGCTCAGGCCCAGAGACAAAGCGACATTCGGCTCGGCTGCAACCCATAGGACCAATTGAACCGGGCAGTCGGATATTTGGTCCATGAATGACCGAATGGTTTTTGCGATCATGCGATAAGGTACTTCATATAGTTGTTGTCAATCTCCAATTCTTACCTGCCAGTTGACCCCACGGGCTCTCCCTCTGGTGAGGTGGAATATCATCTGCCAAATATTTCCTCGTACAATTTGGGACTTTCTGTTTGAGAGAAGGTGGCCGGTCTCACCTGGCTACCCTTTTGCAAACGTATTGCGCTGCTTCTCTATGGGCTGGCGGGTCGGTTTTAGGGTCGAATTTGAAGAGCGGGCCAACCCAAAGACCGCCCGATGGCTAGTGATCAAGTCAAGCATATGACGATGGTCTACAAGTTCCGCATTTAACACCATCCCTTATGTTGCGGGCCGTCAGGTCGGGCGGCGCCGGCGCATCTTTTGCATCCGCCAACCAGGATGCTAGTCTCCAGGCGGCTTTATCTCGCCGACCGCTCGTCGCGGCGCATGAACTGAACAAACTAGAGGCCCTTATCAACAAATCGACGCGCGGGCGGTCTGGGCCAGTGTACCAGCAGACGCCCATTATACGCACCAGCGGCCGCGGCTGCTGCAAGGAGGGTGTTCCCGTTCGCGCCCGTTCCGCAGCCCTCACAAACGACGGCCTCGTGCATATGTCCTCGATCAACGGCATTTCTTCCTCGTCGGTGTCGGCGTCGCGTCTTGTCCTTTGTGCCGGCTCCGGGCGGCACTAGCCGCGGCGGGGATTGCGGACAGAGCGGGTTTGAACTCGCCAGTGGTGTCGTCGTTGTCGCCGGGCACCTCTGTCGTAGCATACCAGCATTATGTTATTGGAGCGATAGGGCGGCAACGCTTGGGTCGAGATATTCTTTGTTTGCTGCCGTTCAAGAGTGTGTCCATTGCAGCAAGCACTCCTGCTGCGCCTGCTCCGATGCGGGATGGCCGTCTGGTTGTTGATCGTGGTTCGCGATAGGCTCAGAGGGCGCCGGCGCGTATTGTGGTGGTGCCAATGCCGGTATTGACGCCGGGACAGCCGTCGTGGTTGTTGTTGCTGTCGCTGGTGCCAGCGGCGGCGGTGTCGCCGTGGCGGTGTTTTGAGGTCGTGTTTATCGCGCTATCGTGTTCTCCCGGCGTTAGGTGTCGTGTTAAGTCCGTTTTACACACTCGGTCAGCCCCTTTTCCTCAGTGGTTTTGTCGACGCGACTTGCAGGACGGCTGGGCCGGCGGGCTTGTCTGCTTTGGCAAACTGTGCTAGCATGATCTGGCTCAAGCTGGCCGCTGAGTCCTTTAGGCGCGTCACCGAGCCCGGGATATTGACCGACAGGTTCTTCCCTAAGGTTGATCTCGTTTTCGACGAGGAGACCCGTACTTGCTGGAGAGCGACGGGGGAGGTAGGCGGGAGCCCCCATGGCACAGCCTCTGCGAGGTTCCCCAGGGGCAGGTGCAAAAGCCTGAGAAGACAAAGGACAGGCTAGGATAAAGACAGCGAGGCAATAGGCAAAAATGTCGAAAGGATTCGACCGCAGCACAGAGTCGAGAACAGCCACACCACCGACCGCCGTGTGAGCTTGCTTTATGTAACCTCTTTTCTGCGAAAATGATGTGAAGAATTAAGACAAGGTAGACGGCCTTCTACTGTCAAAGCCTAATGGGTACCAGTACCTTCGCCGGCATAGTCCCCGACTGTGTCGATACCAGAACTGGACAGGCTACGCCGACCCCCTGCTCCTTTTGGCCAAGACATAGGAGCTATGCTACAGGTTTTTTGGCGCATTTAAAGAAAAAGCCCCCGTCTAACTTCCCCGGGAACCCGGACCGTGGGCGCGAACGAGCGAATGAGTGCCAGCCAGGCGACTGAATATCAGGCCGCTGCGGTGATTCCCTGCTGTTTTGTGACAAGGGCTGCATTTGATATATATTTAAATGGCAGCTACTACTCGAAAACGGAGCAAGAGGGTGTGTTTCCGTGCTTTTTTTCGTTCGGCGGCCCATTCGAGTTGCTTGTTTCAGCGGCCCCTGAGTGACCACAAAGATGTCGCCCACCGGTTGACCAAGACTGCGGCATGAGCTAGAGGAGCATAGATTTGAGCTATGTTTAGGCATCTGAGCTACCTGGGCTCCTTTTGCTGTGAGAAGCGAATCTCGTGTGCTTTCGGTTTTTTCGTGTTTTTCGTCAATACCGCGAATCATATTGCGCTGCTCAGCTGCGCACCGAAACCCAGCCAGGCGACATACTTCATCAACACCTTGCCAGGATACCTTTAACAGCGGCGGAGCTAATGTCACCCGGGCCTAGTTATTTGCTACAGTACCGCCCGCTGCGAAACCATTCTCAAGAGCTTAAGCCGGGACTGGTTTTGGTGCTGATACAATATCGAAGCCCCATGCTGATGGGCTACGCGTATGTTTTCCCAAACCAATACGCCACGTACAATGCCGAAGCGCGCGATCCGCATGGTCACATGGATCTACACCCCGCTCTCCATGGTGGAGGGTAGCGACGTGGGTTTCCGGGTGGCTGCTTTCATCCGCGAGCAGCTTGCGAATCACAACTCCTTTTGTCGGTATACCACCCGCTAAGACCTCCCAAACGTGTTTGCGACCAAACGTTCTCAAGCTCCTCTTTTTAGGGTGCTCTTTGTCGTGGTGCGGCATACATAACATGATGCACCTAGCCACCCCAAAGGGTGCGGTTTTAACAACTCCTGTCGATGTCCTTATCTTTGCTCCTTTGTTTACGTGTAAAAGCGGTTGCACAGTAGCAACAAGAGGAGCCCCAGGCCGCCCCCGTAATGCCGGTCATTATCTCCAACCTTTAAGGCAGAGGAGGAAAAAAACAAAAACATTTGCCATCCTGCCTCCCTTCATAATGAGTAACCCGGACGCCGGCAAGGCATCTCCGAGCAGAGCCGGCCGTAACGTCGTCCTTGGCTTTTCCACCACGCATATCCCAATATTTCGAACCCCCCAGCCTACGCCGGTCCCCATCGATTCGATCCCGGAGCCGACATCGTCCCCTCCAGCAAAAGCCGTGCAGCCAAAAAGGCAGCCGGACTTTCTAAGCGAAAATGACAACTCGCTCAAAAGCGCGATACACTCGGCCATGGCCAGGATGTTCCCAGCACAGGAGAAGGAGACGTCGTCCAGCAACCAGCTTGTGACCAGGACAATTCCGCCGCAGACTGAAGCCGGCGACGTTGACGAGTGCGCGATTAACGACGACGACTCATTAGAATGGGAAGGCTCGATCGAGGAGAGCGGCAAGTCGAGCGCTGAGGAGCTCGACTTCCAGCGGGTCGACTCCAAGGTGAATCTGACCTCTCGGCGATCGCTCCTCACGCTCGCCCTGGAGGGCAACGACCGACAAGCAAAGCTGGGCAACGACATCTCGCAATCGACGCCAGCAATCCGCCAGGGCCGGCCGCCGCGCCAGGGCCCGTCCTTCGTCTCGTCACACAACGGCTCGGACGACGGCCCGCTGATGATGAAAAAGGGCACCCGAACCGCTCCCCTAAAGTCCATTAACGAGATCCCGAGGTCGGCAGCTCAACCGATCCTGACACCCGCCGCCAACGCCCACCAGGCAGCACTATCGCCCAGGACTACCAGGCGCAACATGATATCCACGGAGCTGACCGAATCCCTCCGCCGACACCTGGTCTGGGAAAGGTCACAGAAGTCCTCCACCGTCAACGCGGTTCTCAAGCGCCGGCACACCTCTCACGACGCGGCCAACCTGAAGCAGGACCCGGATAAGGTGGTGACGAAGGAGGGTAACGACATCAATGCTAGCACCTACGACCAGTACTTTGGCCGCGACGGCAGCTACCACTCTAAGGGCTGGTAATTGTTGTTGCTCCCTATACGGCGTCCTACCGTCGGAGCACCTTGACCAAAAGTTCGGCTGGCTGTGCCAGAGGCAAGCATAATTTGGAACGCAAAATACCGAGCTGTAAATGGTTTTAGTTTAGGTATTTGCATCTACACCACCGGCCGCCAAGGCGACCTGCCATGGCCCCATGCACCTGCACTTCACCACCACCAAGATATGGCGGGTATGCTATTCTAATTGGGTGGTTGTATCGAGTAGGAAATAGGGTTGCTGTCGTTATCAAAGGGTTTATATCGTCATTGGACATGTTTCCAGCGCCGTCGAAGGGCGGACGACGCCGTCCGGGCCCACGTTGCCCACGCCGTTAACGTGGCTGAGCTCATCCTCATTGCCTATAGCCATTTGCGCTGCCTAACTCTTGAAGTACGCATGGGGATGCGACAAGTGGCTAGCGCTAGTAGGGTTGCCACGACGGATCGAGCACTTCTGGAAGTGGCGCTTCAGGATGCACGAAAGCGTGTCGCGGCAGAGGACGCACATGTAGGGGCGGTCTCCCGTGTCTGCGGAGAATCATATAATAGTTAAGATATGCCAGAATGGAGGGGAACAGAATTTGGGGCTCGCGCGCCACTTACGTCGGAGAAGGTGCCTCTTGAGGTGCTTAGCATGGAGATACGTCTTGCTGCAGTGCGGGCACGGGAATTTGCCGTCGGCGTCCTTCTGGGGGATGTGGTTCTTGGCCGCGACGTTGCCAGCGACGGAGCTTGGGGCCGTCCGGGCGCACTCGGCAAAATATCGCGGCGACGTTGCGAGCCAACAATGCGCGTCGGCAGGTCGGCCTCCTGCTGGAGGGTCTGCGGCTGGGGCATCAAAGGGCTCTGGGCGCAAGGAGATGAGACCCCGGCTCGTGGATGGCCTCGTCGGCTGGCATAGGGATGAGAATTGGAGAAGCACGATGTTTAAGAGCAGCTGCTAGTACTGCGCCGGGAGAGACAGGTACGTGCTTATGGCGCTATTCGAGCCCAGAGGGGTAGGGTTTCGCGGAATGGGCTGGTAGCTTCATAAGGAGGCACAACTGTTGTGGTTCTACGGCGGTGCTGCGATATCGTCGTGACTGGAAATCAAAACGGCCGGAGATAGGTTCGGTGCCGGAACATGACGACGGCCGTTACGGGCCAGCCTGAGCGCGGAATCACACGAAAACGCGCTTCGCGAACGCGTCAGACCAATCTGGTTTGGGCGATATCCCGCAGCAGACTTTTCTGGGCGCAGCGTCGGTCGCCATTATGCGAAATGGCACGTCCACATAGTTGTTGTAGTTGATCTCCATCCCTGCCTCCAAAATTATGCGATGCCGACAAGCCCTTCGTCCGGTGGCGTCCAGGACTGGATGCTAATGTCTGGACGCAACGTACGTGCCTGCCAATCAAACCCGCAGGCCCTCCAGGGTCCGCCGAGGTGGATGCAACCACCATGTGCCAAGCACAATCACAACAAAAGGAGGCCGTATGCCCGCTCGTACCAGCCACCAAGCCGATAAGGAGGGGCGGCTTAACGGTCCATTGCTGTCAAGGCGGATGCGAGGTGGACATCCTGTAGCTGACCTTCAGACGCAGCCTCACCACCATGTAAAATGGCGCGTCCAAAAAGAGCAAGCCGGCCGTGGCACCGTCGGCTAGAGATGGCTGGTGGAGTGGTTGTTCATGTAGATGGCGCCGAGGAGGCGCCGCCGCGTAGTTCATCATCCGTGCTAGTCTCCGTGGACCTCTGCACCTGAGGATACAACATGTTGACCAGAGTCTCTAGCAGGGACCGGTACCTCGGGATATGCTACGGAAGTTGGGTGGTTGGGGAACGCTGTTGGCAGTCCCTCTCGGGGAAGGCTTGGAAGGATTCCTGATGCATAAAAGTGCGGCACCCTTCCAGCCGCACGAAAGTACCGGCCAGGAGGCAGCAACCATGTTACGCCTACCCCCCTGGGTGGCCAAGGCCAAATGCAACCCAGCAGCCAAAAAATGAAGTGCTTCCAACGTATGCAACCACTTCAATCATTTAGGTCCGAAGTTTTC